GGCAAGGTAAATTCAGACCTACGAAGTTGTTCTAGGTCAAGGTAAATGTCACCTTTACTCCCCACGGGTGTGCAGAGAGGTAACATATCAGTGTGCCCCAACTTAATGGCCAACCTAGTGACCATTGCTCCGCAGTGTATGTCTCCAGACCTCTTACCCTTTGCGATAGCTACACAGGTGGTCATGAAGAGAAAACCTAAGTTAAGCTTACGAGGCTGCTCTCTCCTAGAAGCGATCCACAGAATACACACTTCCTCTTTAGTCAACTTCCCTAGGTCTTGCTTGCTAATAACAGAATATCCTAACAAACGGTGCAGGACCCTAAGTGCTGGGTGGAACATCTCACTAGCTATAGATTTCCTCGTGGTGAATTCATCTCTGCCAGAAATGTGACGCCACCAACTAGTCTCGTTGTATTCTATAAAGTTTTCGTAAAGAGGGCGGTAGATATCTGCTTCTGGGAGGAAGTCTAAGGCTTGGTGTTAAAGAGTTGGAATTTGATCTTATATACATCATTATTAAGATCCAAGGTGTCCACAGAGAAGGAGGAGAAGAATTCCAAGCAGGGTTCTAGGTAAGTCGTGAATGAGGAGTTAACAAAAGATCCCATCCTCAAATTCTCAAACAGAAACCGCAAGTCGTCATTTATTCCCAATTTCTCCATGTCCTCTCTATGGTAATGCCTTGAGGGTCTGAATTTTCTTTTTTTCATATCATTATAGACGGAGGCATGGTTTTTGTTAATGAATTTCAAAGTAGGAAGAGTGTTTGTTGTATTGGGGTTAGGGTTTTGGGACGATTGTCCCGAGTTAGAAGTTTTCCTCTTTTCCCCAATCCTTAACGAACTCATGACTAATCTTTCTTTTTTTTTTTCAAAAACAAGCCAACTCCGGCTAATTCCAAACACACCCCCACAAACTACAATGTACCTGTTCTATAACAATAGTAATTCAACAACAACCAAGTATGTCCACAATTTTGACACCAATTTTCACTGAATCAACAAGAATATCCAGCAATAATTTCAACAATAATCAATTGAATCTCAAAATTAATCTAAGATAGTCAAATTCCTTGCTTAAAAATCAATCAAAGGAGAATAATTAACAAAGGCAATTGAATACCTTTACCCTTATGCGAGTGAATTGCTGTTTGGTGTCGAATTGTTGAAGGGAAGAAGATGAACTTGAGTGTGATGGTGAGAAGCGCCGCGGTGGTGATGATGGAGGAAAATGACCTTGAAGCTTGCGTGAAGATGGAGTAAGTGGATTTGAAGGATGGGAAAGTTAGGGTTTGTGAGTTTTAGAGAGAGAGAGTGAGTGAGAAGAGTGTTTTCTGTTTTTGAGAGTGAATGGAGAAGTAAGGGGGTTTCGGTGTTGAGGAGTCCTTCACTCGTTTTTTTTTTCTGAAATCGCAACAGGCGCGCCCGCTCCTGATAGAGACGCGCACGCTCCGGATAGAGACGCGCCCGCTCCTTAACGACACGCGCCCGCGCCTAAGCTGAGGGATTTTTGAATAACTTTTTCAGATCGAACAGCGCACCCGCTCCTCTTCCGCGCTCAAATTGCGCCCCTTACTGGCTTTTCTCAAGATTTGGGCATCAAATATGGCGCGCCCACTACGTAATCAGCGCGCCCGCGCCACCTTCAGATGCGCGATCTCTCCTCATTCGCACACAAACCGTGCACCTTACTGACTTTTTCCTCTAATTTCAGCCCCTAGATGATGCGCGCCCGCTCTTGATTTGGCGCGCCCGCTCTGAAACTGAGGCGCGGCCTTTCCTCTTCCGCGCTCAAACCGCGGACCCTTCTGTTTTTTCTCATTCAATTTGAGCCCCTAGATGAGGCGCGCCCGCTCCTGGTTAGGCGCGCCCGTGCCACCTTACAACGCGACCTCTCCTCTCAATATATCGCTTTTGCTTCAAATCTTCTCTTTTCTCTAAAACACTTCCCATAACACCTACATCACATTATACAAGAAAAGAGTTAGAGAGATTATACTAAGCGGTTTGAAAGAAAATAGAATAAAAAAGGTTAGAAACCGGGTTGCCTCCCGTAAGCGCTTCTTTAACGTCACTAGCTTGACGTACTTCACACCAAATCACGGCGACTTAAAAACATCAATGAGAGATAAATGCTCTGGCTTCTCAATTAGTTGACCCTCATAGTATGGCTTGAGACGGTGCCCATTCACTTTGAACGGAGGGTACTTGTCATTGAATATCTCAACCGAGCCATAAGGAAAGGCTTTGGAAACTTGAAATGGCCCACTCCATCTAGACCTCAATTTCCCGGGGAAGAGCTTGAGTCTTGAATTGTAGAGTAGGACCTTTTGTCCTTCCACAAATTCCTTCTTGGAAATTTGAGCGTCGTGCAACGCCTTGGTTCTTGCTTTGTAGAGGCTTGCACTATCATATGCTTTCATTCTCAAATCTTCCAACTCATGAAGCTCTAGAAGCCTTTGTTCACCCGCACTATGGAGATCAAAGTTGATTCGCTTGATTGCCCAATGCGTTCGGTGTTCCATTTCTACGGGTAAATGGCAATTCTTCCCATAAACAAGTTTATAGGGAGTGGTCCCTATGAGAGTCTTTAAGGCGGTCCTATAAGCCCACAAAGGGTCAATGAGTTTGGAGGAACAATCCTTTCTCGTTCTTGCCACCGTCTTTTCCAAAATGATCTTAAGCTCCCTATTAGTTACCTGCGCTTGACCACTCGTTTGAGGGTGGTAGGAGAGCCCTCGCTTATGGGATACACCATACTTATCAAGGAGTCTAGCAAAAGTGTGATGCTTGAAATGTGACCCTCCATCACTAATGATAGCCCTAGGGACACCAAACCTCGGAAAGATCACCCTTTTGAATAAGTTCACAACCACGTTGGAATCATTTGTAGGAGAAGCCATGGCTTCTGCCCATTTGGAGACGTAATCTACGACTACCAAGATGTATTTGTTCCCATTAGAAGAAATGAAGGGCCCCATGAAGTCTACTGCCCATACATCAAAAACTTCAAGCTCAAGGATGGGGTTTTGAGGCATTTCATCCCTCCTAGAGATGTTCCCCACTCTTTGACACCTATCACAAGTTTTAACAAATTGCCAAGCATCTTTGAATAGAGAGGGCCAAAAGAGCATACATTGCAAGACCTTGGAAGCGGTCTTTTGAGCACTCATGTGACCACTACAAGGGGATGAGTGGCACATTGAGAGCACATCTTGGAACTCTTCATTAGGAACACATATTCTCAAAAGTCCATTTACCCCTCTCTTCAACAACATAGAGTCATCCCATATATACTTCTTTGCTTCATGCTTGAGCCTTCGATGTTGTTGAGGAGTGAAATCGGGGGTACGACACTACAAGCCAAGTAGTTCACAATATCCGCATACCAAGGCTCCGATTTTGCCTCAAGAGCATATAAGACATAATCCATTAGGGCATTTTCAATTGGCAAACCATCCTCATGTATTCTTGCACCTCCCAACCTAGAAAGGTGGTCCGCCACCACGTTCTCGGCCCCCTTCTTATCTCTCATTTCGTAATCAAAGTCTTGAAGGACCAAGACCCATCTCAACAACCTCGGTTTGGCCTCCTTATTGCTTATCAAATATTTGAGAGCCGAGTGATCGGAATACACTATTGTCCTAGAACCAATGAGGTAGGTTCTAAACTTCTCAAATGAATGAATAACCGCCAAGAACTCTTTCTCGGTAGTTGTATAATTCCGTTGAGCATCGTTGAGAGTCTTGGACAAATAGTATATAACATGAAGTTTCTCATCCTTTCTTTGTCCTAGAACCGATCCAATGGCCTCGTCGCTTGCATCACACATTAGCTCGAATGGTAAAGACCAATCCGGTCCTTGGACTATGGGGGCGGTGCAAAGAGCCTTTTTCAAACTACAAAATGACTCATGATAAGCTTCATCAAATACAAAATCTTTATCTTGCTGCAAGAGAGATGTGAGTGGCTTAGCAATTAAAGAAAAATCTTTTATAAAACGACGATAGAACCCGGCGTGGCCAAGAAATGACCTCACTTCCCTTACATTGGTAGGGGGTGGGAGTTTCTCTATGACCTCCACCTTGGCTCTATCCACCTCGATGCCGGCATGGGAAATTTTGTGCCCAAGAACAATCCCATTCTCTACCATGAAATGGCATTTTTCCCAATTCAACACGAGATTAGCCATCTCACATCTTTCCAAACAATGAGATAAGTTAGATAGACAATTTTCATAGGTGGTCCCTCCAACGGAGAAATCATCCATGAAGACCTCTATCTCATCCTCAATCATATCACTAAAGATTGACATCATACATCTTTGAAATGTAGAGGGAGCGTTACAAAGCCCAAAAGGCATCCTACGGTACGCAAAGGTACCATAGGGACAAGTAAATGTTGTCTTCTCTTGATCCATGGGATCAATCGGGATTTGGAAAAATCCCGAATATCCATCAAGAAAGCAGTAGAAGGCATGCTTTGTAAGCCTCTCAAGCATATGATCAATAAACGGTAATGGAAAATGGTCTTTGGAAGTGTTGGCATTCAATTGGCGGTAATCAATACACATACGCCAACCCGTAACAAGCCGGGTTGGGACTAATTGTTGCTTATCATTGACCATTACCGTCATACCTCCTTTTTTCGGCACTACTTGAACCGGGGATACCCAATCACTATGAGCAATTGGATAGATGATCCCTGCTTCAAGTAGCTTGGAAACCTCTTTCCTCACAACCTCTTGCATGGAAGGATTAAGCTTCCTTTGTTGTTGCCTACACGGCTTAGCACCCTCCTCTAAATTGATTTTATGCATGCATAGGGAGGGGCTTATACCCTTGAGATCATCAAGAGTATAACCCAAAGCCTTCCTATGCTTTTTCAAGACATTTAACAATGAGGAGGTTTGCTCTTCCGTGAGGTTAGCATTGACAATAACCGGGGAAGTATCATTAGCATCCAAAAAGACATACCTCAAGCCCGAAGGTAGAGGTTTCTATTCTACCTTCGGTGCTCCCTTACCATTGGAGATCTCCTCCTTCTCTACCTTGAAGATTTCATGTGTTTGGAGCATCTCTTGGTCGGTGATTGTCTTCTCTTTCTCATCAAGTATTTCTTCATACAATTGCATCTCCTTTTGATCGCCTACTTCATTCTCATTCAACAAAACATTCTCAAGTAGATCATTAGAAGCATGCATATGAGGGTATCTAAACTCATTCATCAAATTTTCAATTGTATCTATTCTAAAGCATTCATTACTAGAGGAGGGTTGTCTCATTACCTTATTCAAGTCAAATTCAATAGAATCATTGTCAACCTTCAAGGTCATCTTACCTTCTTTGACATCGATGATCGCTTTAGAAGTAGCTAGGAATGGCCTACCCAAAATTATAGGAATTCTTTCATCTTCATCCATCTCAAGGACATAAAAATCCACCGAAAAGGTGAACTTACCAACTCTAAGGGGGATGTCCTCTACTTTCCCTATAGGCAATTTTGTGGACCTATCCGCTAGTTGGAGAGTGATGTTTGTAGGTGAAAGGCTTCCCACATTGAGCTTTTTGTAGACCGAGAAGGGCATTAAACTCACACTAGCACCTAGGTCACACAAAGCCTTCCCAAAATGGATCTCATTGATAGAACAAGGAATGGAAAAACTACCGCGGTCTTGCAATTTGGTTGGTTGCTTACTAGAGAGAATGGCACTACAATTTGCGGTTAGATTAACGGTCTCAACTCCTCTCTTTCCATTCAAAAGGTCTTTTAGAAATTTAGAGTAGTGAGGCATCTCCTTCATAGCATCCACAAAGGGTATAGAAACATGCAAGCCTTTAACTACTTCTAAAAACTTTCCGAATTGGGTATCAAGCTTAGACCTAGCAAATATTTGGGGAAAAGGCAACCTCTCATTCCTAGGTTGGAGATTAAGGGGTAAAGGTGTTTGCTCTTTGGTGCTCTCCTTTTCGGGTTCCTTCTCTTTTTCCCTCTCACCCCTCTCATGCTTTTCGGCACTTCCTTCTAGAACCTCACCCTCTCTTGATGACTCATTCTGAACCTCAAGTCCTATCCCTTTATCGGAACTCTTCTCAACATTTAAATCACTCTCAAGGATCTTCCCACTTCTAGTGGTAATGGCATACATAGATTTGGGGTTGACACCTTGGCTAGGTAAAGAAGAAGAGGAAGAAGGGGAGGATGAAGAACTTGGTTGGGCAATTTGGGATATTTGGGTCTCAAGCATTTTTATGTGTTCCTTAATTTGTTTCTTTTTCTCCTCTTGACTCTTGTTGTAGCTCTCTTGATTCTTGATGAAGCTTGGAGCATGCCCATCATAGAATTCGGAGCGGCCTCAACTTGAGGAGGAGGTGTGTTAGAAATTTGGGCTTGTGGCCTAATTTGTTCAAAACCGGGAGGTCTATTTTGAGGCCTTCCATTTCCGGAACCGTGATTGGAATTAAAACGTTGTTGGTTGTTGGAATAGTGTTGTTGGTTTTGATTCAAATTGGGCATTTGGTTTGAGTAACTTCTTCCATTGTAATTAGAAGAGTTCCCCTTACTTTGGCCTTGGTTATCATAACTACCACCACTTTGATTCCATTGATTTTGATTCCAACCTGGATTTTGATTCCAACCGCGATTTTGATTCCAACCGCGATTTTGGTTTTGATTCCAATTTGGCCGCATTCCAACATTTCCCTATAGCATTAACATCTTCAACATTATCATCATCATTTTCTTGGGAAGGGCTTTGATATTCATTAATGGACATGCATTGTTCGGAATTATGGTCATAGTTTCCACATATATCACAAAACATACAACCGGGAGGCATAACATTGTAATTAGAGGGAGAAGAAGTAGAAGGATTCATACCATGGCCTCTCTTGGTAGAAGTAGAGGAAGTATTTTGAGTGCTTGATTTCATGAGCTACTCCATTTGTTTCGCCATCTTTGCCATTTGGTTGGAAAGATTTGTGATGACATTGGTTTTCTCGATGGATTGCACCGTTCCTTTGCTTGAAGTGGCTTCCCTCTCACCTTCATACCAATCCTCATAATTCCGGACCACATCTTCTATTATGCTTTCAACTTCGTCCTCTCTCTTGTTCATAATAGGGCCACCGGCCCCGGCATCTAAACTTGTCTTGCTTTGGGATGAAAGGCCTCCATAGAAAGTTTGAAGAATTTGGTAGTTGGGAATTCCATGATGAGGGCATTGTCTTTGGAGTTCCTTGTACCTTTCCCAAGCCTCACATAGAGACTCACCTCCCCTTTGGCGAAAGCTTTGAATTTTAGAACGAGCCTCGACAGTCTTCTTATGATTATAGAACCTTGCCAAAAATGTCGTAGTAACCTCATTCCATGTTGTGAGAGAACCGGGAGGAACGTCATTATTCAACCAATGCTCGGCTACTCCCATAAGAGAGAATGGAAACATCTTCAATCGAATGTACTCTTGGGTTACTCCGTTGATCTTGATGGTGTCACAATACTTGAGAAATTCTTTGAGATGCTCATGTGGGTTCTCAAACTTACCACCCGTGAATTGCCTCTTTTCTATCAAGGAGATGAAGTTAGGCTTGATTTCAAAATTGTTTGCTTGGGTAGTAGGAGCTAGGATCCCACTTTGAGAGGTATATGGTTCGGGTGCTCCAAGTTGCTTTAGTGATTTTTGATCACCCACGTTTCCTTGATCACCCATACTTTCTTGATTATGGTTATTGGCAAATGGGTTGGGATTTGAGCCTGTGGGTGATTCAATCTCCTCGCTTGAATTGGGTGAAGATGGGGTAGGGGAACTTCTCACTTCCTCTGGAAGTGGATCTTCACCTCTCTCCCTTGCTTGTCTCCTCAATTGGGTTAGAGTACGCTCTAGCTCGTGGTCTATGGACACCAAAGGCCTAGAGCTATTAAGCCTCCTGTGCATATACAAAGCTAAGAAAAAAGTGAGCACTGACAAGACACGGAAATACAACAGGAAGAAACGAATGAACTAGTCTCAACAAGAAAATATACACACAATGGAAACCGTTTCCCCTGCAACGGCGCCAATTTGACAAAGGGTATTTTAGGTCGTTACTAAGACACCTCTATCAAATGATATTTGTGGTCCTAAACATGCAACTAAACGAGTATAGAGGCAAGTTAAGGGTCGAACACAGGGAAACGATTAAGCACTGCTATCTATCTCCTAAAGTTAATCTAGTTCGGTCAAGGAAAATAGTGGATGAATTAATGACTAAAGAGTATGTAAAATTAGTTAAAATAAATGCTAGGGGTAGGGGTCGAACATGCTATGAAGTCAAAGGAGCTAGGCTTAGGGAAGTAGGTTTACATGCAAACCAAGAACCTCATACAAGGCAAAGTCAAGAGTACTCTCTAATCACCTATCGGAATTAAGAGCTTTCCTAGTTAACATGCACTTACACTATCGTCATAAGGCATGCAATACTAAGGTTAGACAATAATCAATCACCCAATGACTATTCCTAAATCACACTATCGTCATGATTTAATTCAAGTCACTCAACCACAACATGCATATGGCCATAAACATGGAGTAGCCAAAAAGTATAGGCGCAAGGAAGATTTAATTGCAAGTATCCAAACTAGCCTAGCCTATCATACATCAAATTCAAAGCATGTCTCCACCAAACCCCTAGCAATAAGAAAACTACTCACAATCCATAACCCTAACTACAATAACACTAATCAACAAAGTAATTAAGAAATTAATGAGAGAGATGATAATTTCACCAATTAAACCAACAAAGATGGGAACTTTAAGCATATAACAAAAGAATAAAAAGAAGAATACCAATAGTTTCATTCAATACCAAGTGAGATGACAAACACCAATAGAGTTCCAAAATGCTTCCTCAAAATACCTAAAGTAGCTAACATTGATAAATTGAAGATCTACACTAAGATCTATGAAAGAATTTCCAATACAAGAAAGCTAAAATATATGCTAAGAATGTTCCTCTAAAGAGTATGCTGAAAGTTTCAATATGTGAATAATGAATGCTGCCTTCTCTCTCCTCTTCTCTGCTTTTTAAATCTGATTTCAGGTTACGGACCGCAGCAGACAGGCGCGCCCGCGCGCTAGATGGTGATGCGACCGCTCCTCAAGAAGTGCGCCCGCTCAAAAATGGGTGTCACAGGATTGGGCCAGCTCAGCGCGTGCCCGCGCCCAAGGTGGCGCGCCCGCGCCTATAGTTGCGCACCCGCTCCAAACTGCTGGTTCAATGCTTCGATCCTTGCTCTGGCTCCTTGTCAATTCGAACCGCAATCAATCTGCAATTACAAAATAGGAAGGCGAAGCGTAATACAACGAAGAGGGAGGGGAGCAAAGCCTACCTAAACCAAATAAAAACACATTACGCAACACATAGGTAGACTGCTTAAATTAGGCAAAACATAACAAAAGCACACTAGGATGAACCGAATTATTGATAAAACTACTAGAAAGAACTACCCTAGGAGTGACATAAATATCAGTCATCAATTATTGAACCTTTCCTGAGGATCAAAACAAAAAAAGCCCAGAAAGTAGCCCACTTTGACGCTTTAATTTCAAAACCCCAACAACCACAAAAATTAGTGCCAACAAACCAAACTAGATTTTCCAATTCACCAGAATCCTTTTTCTCTACTGCCTCCTTTTTGGATCACTCTCCAAAAATAGATCTATCCGAACACATGAACAGAATTAATGATTTAAACATCTTTCCTAGATCCTCAAATTCGGAAAGGGAAGGGCTCCTACTAAAGCCCAATGTCAGTATGGGCTTAAAGGCCAAAGTCAAGGTAATGCATGTATAGGACCATGTGGGCCAAAAAGATAAAAATGAGAAAAAAGGCCCAATTTCAGTTAAGCCCACAAGAAGCATTTTCTCGAAGCCTAGCGGGTTCCTATTGGAGAACTTCAAGCGCGACGAACCCAGTGGAGTGAATATAGGCGGGCCTAAGGGAGAGCCTAGTGGAGTCAAGAAGGGATTCATTTCAGTCCTGGGATCTCAACTTATAAACAAAGGAACAGGCACAGGAAGAGCCCAATCTGGACAAGGCCGGGGGAAAAAAGAGAAAGAAGACCAGGGTATATGATGAGTGTCATTTATGGCACTTATTTTCCCTCTTTTAGGATGAATTTTAATCGCTTTTATAGCTCTTTTGTCTCTTTTTCTTTAGTTTTACCTGTTACTTCTGTAGTTTGTATTTTCCTTAGTTGTTTTCCTATTTTCTTGTATTTCTTAGGTTTATTTGTCTTTTTCTCTTTTATTTGTTTTCTTTTTCTTTTATTTCAAGAGATTGTTGATGTTAAAATAGATTAATGGATTTTACTTTGGATTTGTAAGGCTCAAGATACAAGTCGGTCTCTCCCTTTGAAGCTCAAATGTCAAGGAGTGAAAAATCAAAGTCTTTTACGCCATGCTCTCAAGCTGCGAGGGCATTAAAAATGGTGTTGAACCCACCGTGGAGGCCTTTGGAAAATGTCACCCCCAACATGCATCAAGTGAAGCGCATGGAAGCATCAACGAAAGCACGTGAAAGTCTTCCCCTACTCCCAGGCGCGGGCGCGCAGGAAGGCGGCGCAGAGGCACGGGGCAGGGGCATGGCCGCGTAAGAGTGAATTGCGGCGCGCAACTCTTCTCCTCCTGTTTCGTACCCATTTCATTTTGGACGTGCATGATGAGGAGGGGGCGTGCCATTTTTCGTTTTTTTAGAGAGAGAGAATGAAGGAAGAATTAGACTAGTTTTAGAGAGAGAAGCTCAGGAATTGGGGATACTTTGTCCATAGATTTTAGAGAGAGAAACTTGGTAATTGTCGATTGCTAAATTTTGATCTTCATTCACGTTAGTGTTGATCAAAGTTTTGTAAGAATTCTTTCCTCTTTGATGCAATTTTAGTGTTTGATTTTTAATATATTGTTCCATTTCTATAGTTTGTTTGATTTGATTGTTGATATTTAGATTGAAATGGTAATGTTGAAATGATTGATTAGTTTAGTTATGATTTTAAAATTTACAATGTGTAGTGAGTAGTTCTTTTGATAGGGATGTGATGGTGAAGCATGTATGAATGATAAGCTAATGCTAATTTGGGGGGTTTTTTATTGATTGGATAATGTGATTAAATTGGTTGATGGAATTTGTGCATGTATTTTGATTTAATGAGGAGTAGCTAACCTTGATTATCAAGCTAGATTGCATAGTAGTTGTTTTCAAAGAAATGAAACA